GAGCGAGGGAGGTATCCTTTCTCCTTTATTCCCCGTGTCTCACCTCTCCTTGCCCCTCACCCTCTGCCAGGACATACCAGGTGGTGAGGAAAACAAGCGAGAAGCAGCATTGCTGATTGACAGAACAATTACTGCTAACACTCACCCGGATGGAGAGACAGACATCTCCAAATAGAATTTCACTAAGCTATTGCATCACACGCTTACAGGAAGGATTGTGGCTGAGAAGCAAAACGACGCTGACTGACTCATCGACTGACTAACTCTGTCTGTCTCTTGGAGCTGAGCACAATTGCTTGAAAAGCAGGCTTCTGTTTTATTGTTGACTCCTATAAAGAAAAGGGGGAAAAAGCATTTACCCTTGCCCAAGGTTGACTGGTTCTAACTTTAGAAGCAATATTTGGCAACCTATTTCCTCCAACTCTGACTGTTCATCTGCTGGCTCAGTTAGAGGTGTAGCTATTTTTATCCATATACCTACTGAGTGTCGAAAAACTGGGAAGTTAATTAAAAGGCACACTGCAGATCTTTTTGGGGGGAATTCAAATTCCCAATAATATCCAAAACAAATGTAAAATCTAAATTATCTGCTGTACAGTGTAAAGCTTAAAGAATTTGCAAAACAAAACTTTATTTATGACGCTGGCTGGTTATAAAGCCACTCAGTTGCTAGACTAATTGCTGTATCGTAGCCCAGATCAGAGTTATTGATCATAAAGTTAATCGATCACTTATCAACCAAACAGTCTCCACTCTGGTTCATAAATGTGAGAATTTACACTACAAACTGATGTTTGGGGGCTGGACTGTCGGATAAATAAAACAAGACATCTGAAGTGGTTGCGCTGGACTCCGTGACTTATTATTAACATTTAAACTTTAAACTTTTTTTAAAATTTGCATGTTAAATGAAACAAAAATAACTGCTAGCAGTAGCCCTCTCATGCAAGGCTGAAAATATCTTCCACTTTCTGTGCCGTCGTCCTGTGCTCTCTAGTCTTACCCCACTCCCACACGAGACTCTGCATGAGGCATCTGCCGGTTGATGCAGTCAGTCTCATGCAACCGTCTTGGCCATTACCCCACCCCACGGCATTCTGGCCTCCAGCAGCTGCATTACACCACGCTCTTTGACTTTCTAATTAGCTTATCCCAGAAAATAAGGATGCTGAGCAATTCTTTGCTCTAGCAGTCTAACAACTAGCAGACCGCAGGGAGTGCGGTTGGCACCTAGTGTCACCAAGGGGGCTGTTGTGCTCGACAGACTAGTATGAGAAAATATGGCTCACTCTATTTCCTTTGACTTGCAAACACTGAACTTGAAATCGATTTGTAATTCCACGAGCCAAATCGCAGTACCAAATAAAGCACAAATGATAAGACAAAAGGAACCTCTTTGCTAAAGCTGACGGTCAACTCAATCTTGAAAAACTTCCTTGGCAATCATATAAGGATTAATGTAAACTGTAGTCATTTTAAATGAGTTTATTCAACAACATATTTGCAACCTATAGCTCTGTTTCAATGTGATAAAATACAGTGACCCCTGTCAGCTCACAGCTGGAGGAGTCATGGACGAAAAAGGGATGGAGTAAGGGATGGAGGACAGATCTTTCCACCTGTAGCAACAAACGTCCTGCTGGACTGTAATCTGCCAGTTGTCTCTCTCTGAAATGCCCAGCTTAGCCGAAGCCAGCTGAGCCCTGCAGCCTCTAGCACCAAACGATGCTGGGGCCCCAGGACATAAGGCACCTGCACAGGGAGATAAAGGCTTCAACTCCTGAGCTAATACTGACGATTCTTTTGATAAATACAGACATTGGGTGGTGGGCGGTGGGAGTTGGAGGGCAACCTTTCCCCGCTCCCCTCCCCCGTCTACCTGTCTCAGTAATCTCTTTCTTGTACTTTGTGTTTTTCTTCCTCTATCCTTTCTGTCTTTTTCTGCAAGTCTGCCTCTCTCTTTCCATCTCTCTCTCTTTCTCTCTCTCGTACCTTCTTCATCCTGTCTTGTGTGAGTTTGGATCAGACAGGCGAAGCTCTCCATGCTCTGCCTTTTTATTTATTCCATATCTGTAGCTGTCAAAAAGAAGATTGCTACTTTAGGAGCTGTCTGCGCTTTGTTGTGCTCATGGAAAGTCAAATAGAGGAGGTTGTGTTAAAAGCATCTTGACCACTTTGTGGGGACACAAACAATGTCAGCTGTGGTCCTGGACGCCCCTGACAGTGGAAAATATCTCTATGAGTGCAGGAGACATTATGCCCCCTTAGACGCCACAGTGCTGAGAGGAGTGGTTAAAACAGTATTAGCCTGAGGAGGTAAATGGAGTCAGGCCTCAGTAACATCACCTCCTGCTGCGTCTGTCACTTAAACACTTTTTTATGAGCGCTGATTGGAACATAAACATGGGCAAGGTTGCATGATTAGTGTATTTAGAAAAGCTTTGGGAACTAAATGACCCAATGAGGGCTCTGCACAGATTAACTCCTCAGCAATTCAAGATTATGTCAAATGAGAAGTTAAGGCTATGCAGAACCAGGTTTTCGTCACCTGGGACATTAATTACCTGAAATTATCATATAAATTACTGCGGATTTAAACTGTCGTCACAGTAGCCTATTTGGCAGTATAAATAAACTTACCTGAAAAAAACCCCCACAGATTTGAAAGCAAACGGCTGCTAGCTTCACTTGTAAATCAGTCAGTGGCAGGAGGAGACAATGGGAGAGGCTGGTGCGCTGTGATAAAGCCATACCCCTACACGCACAACAGACAAACTTGCAACTACTACATAAAATCAAAACAGAAGGAGCCAGGAGGCCGAGCTAAGCTGCATCGTGTTGTTCTGTACTGTACTGCAGACAGCAGTTCATCTTTCCACTTCTCTGGTGTCGTGCCCATTGTCTCTTCCCATTAGCCTGCGACCGGCATGCTACGGCATGGTCGGTGCGAGCGCTAGGCTAGCAGACGCACACAGCTCAGGGTGGCAGATGCCTGGCGTTTCTGCGGATGCCCTCCATCAACTGATGACAGATGTCAGGGCTTCTCTTGGATGGCAACACTTCATCACGCTATCCTGTTCTTCGCCCCACTGGATACACCAGTCTGCTTGGCAGACGCTACGCCCAACCCCACCGCACCCTCCCTGTTCCCTCCTGCCATACCTATCCATTCACACGCACGCACACACATATATATATATATATATATATATATATGCATGCAACCATACACACACATTTCTGCATCCATCAGTCAAGCGTTATTACATCAGACAGCCATCATACTGGCAACCAATGGATCACATGCTAATGCACCCAGACGCATCCACTCTGGAAATCTAAAGTATCAGTCTTTAGGGTGTGTGTGTGTCTGTCTATGTGCTTAGGAATGTGTGGGTCAGCTGCCAGGTGGAGAAGAAAAGTATTTCAAACTTGCAGAAAGTCTATAAATACTCTATTCTAGTAGGACAATATTAAACAACAATCGGAGCACTAATTATTTAACATATTGCTTCTAGAAATGCTGCTTATGTCGTTGCAAACTTACCATTTTGGCCTGCTGGTAGACTTCACTACAGGGGACATGCCGTCTCTGTACAGGCTCTTTGTCTTGGAGAAGTTGACCACATTGAAAATGACCCTCTGAAAGAAAAAACATAAAACATTCTCAAAGCTAGTAGCAGCATAAAGACAAGTGGGTTCCTGACAGAGTTATCATAAGGGTTTTAAAGGGGTGTTTTTTAGTTTTTCAAATCTGGTTTTCAAATCAGTTTAGTTTCAGTTTCAAAGAGTTATAATTTTAATTATTTTTTTTCTGTTACTCTCAGTGTTAGTTCTAGTCTGTCTTATAACAGTAGAATAATGCGGTATATAAATCAAACAACGTCAGACACACTTCCCTAACTTAACGAACACGGAGCCTCTGTGTGCTTGTGTAGAGATTAACTTTAATTCGTTTTGTACGTTAAAAAAATATAATTGAAGTAATTCTGATGAGACTTATGGCTTAGTCACAACTGAATAAAATCTCTAGTTTCCAGTGATGCAAGGATTTATTTTTTGTGTTTGGTGACTGATTGGAAGTAATTACAGGGACCACCTGGTTGCCCAGAGGATAAGCATTCAGCAACTTCAACCTGTCTCCAAGCAATTGGAACCAACTTGGGCAAACTTCAGTCACTCTTAGATTGACTGGAGAAAGTTTGCAAATAACTGCCATCTAATTTTTAAATGCAGAAAGATCGCCAACATGTTGGAATCAATACGAATTAGTTTGCACGGATGAATGCAACTCATTTGCGATGCATGTCACTGTTTGTGGAGGAAATTCTGAATTTCAGTTTCAAATCAGTGAAATTCGGCTGGGATTTGAGTGGAAGCAGTCGATGTTCAGTTCTGCTTAACGTGAATTTCTCTGTATGAAAATGGAAACAGATTTGTAACAGCTGGTATCAGATGTGTTATTTTTTTATCACACTTATTATTATATAATTATAATATTAGAAAAAACTGATTGTATGTAACTGACAACTTGGCCCATTCAATCGCAAACTATATCAGTGATTGAACTATATTTTTTATACTACACTGTAACTATACTGTTTCATGTATCAGTACATGGTTTGGCAACCTTTCTGTCAAGCTGAGATCCCAAATTCAAAATTTGATTAAAAGATGGTTGGGATGCTCCCTTCATCTTCCCTCCAGGAGTAAGGTAAGCCACCGCCGGCTTACGACACCAACTGTCTGCCATCTATAATCCAGTTTAGAGATCCCTTCCCAGACGCCTTAACTCCCACTCACATCCTGGGCCATTTGACCTCACTAAGTCACATGATAGGGTGGGGCTAGGTTTCACAATGAGTTCACCTGAAACCTTGGCTGATTGTGCCCTACGCCCGTTTTCACACCTCAGCTCGTGTGATTAGGTAGAGGATCAATAGGGGGTCCATGTCCCTCTTGGGGAGACACTCCCATAGGACTTAAATCTGGGACTCTCCACCATTTGACCCTTGAACTGAAGAAGCTTCTCAGATGAGAGGTGAAACGTATTAAAGCAAATGGTAAATGGCCTGTATTTGTATAGCACTTTACTTAGTCCCTATTGACCCCAAAGCGCTTTACACTACATTCAGTCATTCACCCATTCACACACTGGTGATGGCAGCTACATTGTAGCCACAGTGCGCCTCTGTCAGTGCCCCCTGGGGCGCACTGACAGAGGCGAGGCTGCCGGACACAGGCACCACCAGGCCCTCTGACCACCACCAGTAGGCAACGGGTGAAGTGTCTTGCCCAAGGACACAACAACTGAGACTCTTGGAGCCGGGGCTCGAACTGGCAACCTTCCGATTACAAGACGAACTGCCAACTCTTGCACCAAGGAAGCGGTGGTTGCAGCCCTGTCCCTGTCTTGGAAGCAACCATTCCAAAGGCAATGAGAGTGTAAGATTATTGCTTGATTGCAATAATTTTGGTCTTGCCACAGTCTTTAACCACTGTTTTCCCTAACGTACCTGTAGCATAAAGGTTAGTTTTTATTTTAGTTTATCTAAAATGCCCTTTCGGGTTTTTTGTTTGTAGTAGTGCAACATATCACCGAAGTGAAAAAATATAATGCAAAAACGATGGTTGGAAGAAGACAATGAGAAAATCAGCAGCTGTAAAGATATGAGACGTTCAAATACACAGAAAAATAAATTATTTGCATTTCGATTAAGAAAAAGGAACTTAACACCCTGTCCGGCCTTCAAGAATGGCAGAATACAATTTTACAAAAAACCTTTTTTCAACACAAAACCATCACAAGCCTGGGTTTGTATGTGATTATAATTATTAGAATCCAGCTAGACGTGACGTTTAAAGCAATAAAAACAACCCCTTTCCAATCATTTCTGCCACATGTTGCATGAAAAAGACTGAAAAATATAAACCTGTAAGTGAAGAAAAATCTCAGATGGAGGTTGTCAGAGCAACACAGATAACAAACAAAATCACAAAAGATTAACATTACAGTTAGGAAATAAGGCAGCTTTAATATCCTGCAGATGATCCCATGTTGTGGTAACAAAGTTCCCGATAAAAGGCAGCAGCTCCGAGGAGTGCCAGCCTCTAATCTGGGAGGACATTATGGTTCTCCCCATAGGGATGCTGCCAGGCCCAAAACATTAAGCTCTGCCTGGAGCGCAGAGGAAAGTCATGGTGTCTGGCGTTTCACCTCCTCTGGTCTGGTCTACTTTTTACAGCTAGAATATTTTGGAACACCCCTTCCCTCATTCCTCCACTGTGATTAGGATCAGGACGAGTGGGAAAATGTGGAGGGAGAAATAAATCAATATATTTTTGAAAAAGTCAAATTAAATGAATGGCAATGGTAATGCTGCGGTGAGCTAAATGAATCCTATTGATGGGGCATATCAAATTACCAACTAAGTCCAGGTGGTGGAAGTTAACTGGATGCTACTGAAATCCTATTACAGACTCCCCACCCTTCTCTCCCTTCTCTTCTTTCTCCTCTCCCTCCCCCTCATTCATTTCTCCCCTTTTTTTCCTGTCTAGCATCAGAGGAATGGGGATTGCGGATTGTGGCAGGCTGATTCAGACTTAGGTAAAATGACATCTAACTGATGTTGAGACTGGCAGCAGGCTCCTGTAGCAGGGAGATAAGACCATTGCTGCTGGCATTTCAATTACACTTTACTGCCCCGCACATCTGTTGCGAGAGCTACTTTTCAGCCTTTTCCCCTCAGGCAAATACAGCCTTACTCTGACTCCACTGGCTTTCTTTGACTGCACAGCCTCTTTCCTCATTCTTTATCCACAACAAATTCAGATTGTCTTCCTCCTTAGATTCACTCTACCCACTGTTTGTAATCTATTTGTTCGGCCTGTTTAACTCAGAGGGAGCTAAGACTGGACAGATGACAGAGACACGGGCATAAGGAAGAAATAGACGACTTAATCACAGGCACAGTGATACACAAAACGAGAGTGAGAGACAGGCGAGGAGAAAAAAAGTAGCCAGGTAGATACACCAGAACACACAGAAAGACAAAGTGACAGGAAGATAATTGCACAACTGAGATAAACAGGGGTGAAAGAAAGCTATCGTGGATAGGAATGGAAACTACTTTTGCTGCATGGACTCATGGTAACAGGTGGACTGGTATGTAGGTAGACAGGGAGGAATACAAGTCTCCAGCTCTTTTTGATTTGTGAAATTGGATTACAAAGTCAGTGTGTAATCTATTAAACGCGAGGACTGCTTAAAAGCAGGGTATCACTGGACCACTTACGTACCAGACAAATGAAAGAAGATGTGCATTACCACTTTCAACATTCGGGGTTACATTATTCCATTGGATCTCTATCTGCTATTGTAGCGTAACAACAGATGTTTGGTAGAGGCTTGACGATATTTTAGTATTAAAATCATTTGAAGGTATGCCTTCTACTATAAACTACTATACAGAGGAAAGACAAGAACATAACAAAAGAAAGATCACTACAGCAGAGAAGTCATTACAGATGTTGTGGACTTATCCAAGACTGCATCAATTCTGGCAGTCGATTTACAATATGTTCTCTTAAATACTAAAAGAAGCAATGAAACCCTCCACTCCTACATCTGGTCTTGCACTACAAGGCGCACATCATTTCACAATCGTAACATGCTATCCTTCTGCACTTTCACTGGCCATGCAACTCAACTGGAAGGACTGTCTCCCTTTAACATTTTCTCACTGGATTACAAAAAAAACTCAAACACGATGCAATCTTTTAAAATCCAGCACGCATTCTCCTTGATGATTTTTTGACATGTGCAGAACAGAAGCAGTTGTAACATGTAACACAGATGCAGGAAACTGTTTATATATTCTATACTGTGAAAATATCCAGTAAAAAAAAAAAAACTTTGAACAGAAAAGATTGCACTTATTTAGACCTGAGAGTAATTTTCTCCTCAAGTGTAAATTTAAGAGTCTAAACAAACTTGAATGCAGTTTTATGAGGTTTTGTTTAAGCACACTCAAAGGGCCAGTTCCATTTTGGTGTTCCTTTCCTAAGAAGGAAAGGTGTTTGTGTTTCCATCTTCTTATCACATGTGCAAGCACAAAGATAATTCTTGTGGTTTTGGATGACAGATTCTGTTTCCTATTTCACTTTTTTTTTTTACCCATGGGATTACAATATCTTGCTTAATGAAGAGAGTGATTTCTTGTTTTAATGTTGCACTGCTCTCCTTTAAAACTCTGCTCATGTTCAAAACTGCACGTCTGCCCTCAAACGCATGCTCCTTGCACAGATTTCCTGAGCTTCAACTTAACCGATGTTCCTTCTTGGATTCAAGATGCTTCTGTTTGTTCAAAAAATGTGTGATCTGAGAGCTCAGCTTTCAGATGCTGTGAGTAACATGAACTGGTTTGTTTCTCAGGTGACCAAACGTTCACTGCATGTCATGTCATCTCTTTGTGCTATCCAAAAAATGTAAAAAAATAAATAAATAAATAAAAAATCCAATGAAAAACAAAATCAATTTAAACAAATTGTGTGAAAACCCTATCAAATTACTGACAGATGTGATGGTAAAGAAATGACTCTTTTCCTGGTGCTTTAAAAGTATGTTTGCAGTACTTTTCAAT